CCATTACCGCGCGCGGTGCCGCCACACGCGGGCGGGAGGCGCCGCCTGCCCCGGGCGGGCCGGAGCGCCCGGGCTGGACACGGCCCCTTCCGGCGGGCGCTCCCGCGCGGCTCCTCACACGCTGCCATTTCCCCCGCAGACACAGCATGGCCGCCCAAGGAGAGCCCCAAGTGCAGTTTAAGGTAAGGCTCTGGTTCGCGGCTTGGGTTTGGGGTGCTTTTTTTCCCTTCACTGGAAAAGTAGCACGAGGGACTCTCGAGTGCCGACGTGGATGGTGGGTTTGGTTTCGAAGTTCTGGTCTTTCTTTAATGGCGTAACGTATTGTAGTGCTGCATACAACTTACACAAAAAGAGTCTGTTAAGCTGCGTCAATCTGTTCTATTTGCAGTTTAGACTAATAAATTTTAATGAATCTTTGCCTACAGAATGAATTTTAGATGTAAGAACTGAAGTGCACTGTAAAAGGTGCTCAGAGTGAATTAGAATAGCCTCCTTTCTGTTATGTGCTAATTGTTCAAATGTTTCAAAAGAGGATTTTCTGGTGTTTTGTGTGGTTGGTGGTGTTTTTTGGTATCTTAACAGCCAGAAGTTCTGAAGACTGCTTCCTGAAGGTCGTTACTTGTGATTCCTGCAGTACTTTGCTTGTGTATTCTAGTTCATGGTGCAAACGTTGGTGGGTTTTTGGTTTTGTTGGGTTTTTTAATTACAAGATAACAGTGGGTTTCTCCAGTGGATATTTTTGTCGTTTCCTTTCCAAATCTGGTCTTGTTCAGGTTGAAAGTCCTAAACATTCTTCATTCAGTCTCTTGTACAAGTTTAGTAGAACCATATTCACAGTGCAGTGCAGATCTTACCTTCAAGGACTGGATGAGACTGATCAGAGTTACAGCATGATGGATGGGCTCAACAAATTGGTTCCCACCACAGGGACCTGCTGCATGGGCAGTTCTCTCTTTTGTTTACAGCACCTTGTAGGAACTAAGCTCTTTGTAATAAGAAGTCATATCTGTGCTAGAATGACTGTAAAATGTCTCAAAATGCTCTGACTTTCTTCCTTTATCTGTCTGCAGCTTGTTCTGGTTGGTGATGGTGGCACTGGTAAAACAACGTTTGTAAAGCGTCACTTGACTGGTGAATTTGAAAAGAAGTATGTAGGTATGTCTGAAGAAACATTTGAGCTCCACTATCTTACAAATGCAAGTACAATCCATGACTTGCTAAATGTGCTTTTTGTTATTTCCCTAGCAACACTGGGTGTTGAAGTTCATCCTCTGGTGTTCCATACTAACAGAGGCCCTATTAAATTTAATGTATGGGACACAGCTGGCCAGGAGAAGTTTGGTGGCCTGCGTGATGGCTACTACATCCAAGGTAAGATCTGAGGGGACGATTCTGTACCTCTTAGAGCTCAGTCCTTCATTCTGCTCGTGCTGGCCACACTGGAAGCTGCCAGTGTGGCTGCAGTGATGAACTGGCAAAGAAGTCTTCAAACTCTTCATGTGGAGAGGATAATGCCACACAGCATGTGCTAATGTGGGAGCAGGATAGCTTGTGTGGGCTTTGGTATTAACAGAAGTGGTGCACCTTTAATGACCAGATACTACCACCAGATACGCATTTGGTGGTTAAGGGGGGAAAATGCATGCTGCAGATTTTTTTTCTGCCTTGCTGTGCTCAGGCAAGGGCTTGGAACACAGAAACTCTTTAGATTTTCAATGCCATGAGGATGTTGGACACCTCCATCCCGGAGTCTGTCTTTCTGAAAAGGTGCAGACAAGTGTTCCTTCCTTCTGCTTGGCAAAGATCTGTCCTGTGCTGCTTCACTCACCTGCATATCTTTATTATGTCTTATTGTAGTCTTGAGTTCCCTGAGAAACTGCTCTGGATGAGGACATCCTCACATGCAGACCACAGGCTCTCAGCCTACCTTGGAGCCTCATTAGCATGTCTGAGATGAATTAAATAGGTGTTAACTGATTCTGCCAAATATTTGGGCAAATCCAAGTTGGCTTCTGTAGTCTTGTACGTTCTCACAGGGTGCAGCACGGTGTTCCTCTGACACAGCTGAGTCAGTAAAAACAGCTGGTCTGGTATATGGGGCAGGACAGATGTGAGGTGACACAGCTGTGGTTCTGTGGGCTCACATGTTGACCCTGTCAACAGGAGCTGTCAGAACTTGATGCTGAGATGGAAAAGTTGGTGCAGATGCCGAGCCCTAATGTGGGATGTCTCTGGGTTCCTCTTTATCCCATGTTGCAAGCAGGTGGTTGCTCCTGGTGTAACTTGACTTTGGTTCTCTTGCAGCTCAGTGTGCCATCATCATGTTTGATGTGACATCAAGAGTTACCTACAAGAATGTACCTAACTGGCATAGAGATCTGGTACGAGTATGTGAAAATATCCCTATAGTGTTGTGTGGCAACAAAGTGGATATTAAGGACAGAAAAGTCAAGGCAAAATCCATTGTGTTTCATAGGAAGAAGAATCTCCAGGTGAGTCAGGAGGAGGCCAGTTGGTTGGCTCTGCTGAGTGCAGCTGGGTTTTGGATGGTGATTGGGTGCTCTGCCTCTGTCATTATAGGGAGCCTCACATCTGTTGGCTCTTCAAACCAAAATTGAGGGGAGGGGGAAGTGGTGATGTTAAGGATGATCATCACTGGCCTGGAGCAGAAGCTGTGCCAAGTTCTTAAACAACTTCTGAGCATTTGGCTTTAACTGCTCAGAATCTCATCAACCCATGACAGGATTGGGACTGCAGTAGGTCACGTACCAGGAGAAAGATAAATGCACTGTTGCCTTCTGAAAGTTTTATCCTTGATGAGATTTCATAACCTTTCAGTTAATAGTTTCTGCCTGAAACTGTGTTTCTAGATATTTAAATGATAACTGCTTATAAATATGCAAGCAAAAGTAATTTAATCCAAAAAAAGGTAAAAGAGTTGATTCGGTCTTAATCTTGAGATGTCCTAAATGTTGGAGGATTTTTAAAATAATGTCTAATATGTGCTTTTTTCAGTATTATGACATTTCAGCTAAGAGTAACTACAACTTTGAGAAGCCTTTCCTGTGGCTTGCTAGGAAGCTAATTGGAGATCCCAACTTGGAGTTTGTTGCCATGCCTGCGCTCGCACCTCCTGAAGTCGTTATGGACCCAGCACTGGCAGCACAGTATGAGCAAGACTTACAGGTCAGTGGCAGAGGGCACAGGGCCAAAGCAGTTGTCCTGTAAGTGGTGTCACACTTGGGGCACAAGTGGCTGGAGAACAGTTCTGAAGTGTAACTTGTTTGTTGCAGATTGCTCAGACCACTGCACTGCCAGATGAAGATGATGACCTGTGAGGGATGAAGCTGGAGCCCAGCGTCAGAAGTCTAGTTTTATAGGCAACTGTCCTGTGATGTCAGTGGTGCAGCGTGTTTGCCACTTTATTATCTAGCTGAACAGAACATGTGCTTAATCTTTGGGATGCTGAAAGAGATGAATGGGCTTCGGAGTGAATGTGGCAGTTTAAAAAAAAACAAACAAAACAAAATGAAAAAAAAAAACCAAAACAAAAAACCTTCATATTTTGGACCTGCATATTTAGCTGTTTTTTGGACTGCAATTACTTCCCCTTTTGAGTTTCAAATATAAGACTGCTGCAGTCACATCAGAGTGTTAAGTGAAAAATCTTGTTTCTGTCATTCCCATTCTTTTGTTTAGGTAATAAAGTTGTATTTCAAGTATCTCCAAGCAAGTGAACTTCCATGCATTGTTAGGAAAACTGTTCAAAGTGTCTTCTGTTCTTCATTTGAGGGTTATACTTGATTGTCTACTGCATTTCTCATTCTGTTTTCCTTCCTGCTTCTCCTATTCTGCTCCTCTTGCTAATTTGGAGCTAACAGTTAACCTTTGCCTTTTTGCTGGCGCACAGAGCTGAAGGTGCGGGGCTGAGCCTCCAGGCAGAGCTCGGTGAGCGCTGCTGGGCCGTGCCTGGGGGAGCGTTCCCAGCCCTGGGGAGTGTTGATCAGTTCCAGCTCCTCACTGTTCCCCTCCCACAGGAACCTCCAGCTCTGTGCTCCTGGCAGCCAGCAGCGAGTGGCATCCAGCCTGGTGACTGACTCGAGCTGTCTTTGCATGAACAGCAGCAGAGCTATAGCTGGCCAAACCAATCCTAGGCATCTTCAGATTCACTAACCAGAAACAGCTGTGGCTTGAGCTAAAGCGCTCTTTATACCTGATGGCATATTAACTGAAGCCACAGTCATTCAAACATCTGTAACTGCACCAAGTTCTTAATTTGAAACTGGCTTATTACAGCACAAATGGTGGAAAATGTCAACTTTTAACACTACCTTGTAGCGATGAATCTTGGTCAATATTAGTACTGCTAGTAAGCAAAACTTAAGTTTAGAATTTTTTTTCAGTAGTGTTTGAGTACATGAAGTCTTGAACTCTTCAGTTTTGTATTTTTGGTTTCTTAATAAAGTGGAGCATTTCATTTATTCCTTTTAGCTTGTATATTTGTGTACATAAATTACTTTAGCTGACTGGTAGCAAAAATTGGACTATGATTATTGTGCAATATTGCTGAAAATGAGTAATTTGTAAGTTAATTTTTGGAATTCTTGGGGGCTTGGGCCTGTTTTTGGTTACTTAGAAGCTGAACTGTGTGTTTTAGACTTGAAGCTCCTGGATGGAAATGAGGAATGGTGTACCCTTGGTGTTTGAAAGGGGACAGACTCCCACTTAATGTTTCATTGACTCTTCTGCTGCATAATCCTGCTCTAACTTTGTTGTAGGCTTTTTGCCTGTAGTGTTACTAATTCCCTGTGCAGGTCATGGTTAATCCTGCTGGCTTGGCTGCTGCTGCTTTACTGAGTGTGGTATGGTAGCTCTTGTGTCTTCATCTCTCACTGCTGGAAGCAACTGCAATGTTTTGGGAGTGGAGTAAAGCCCACTTGCACCGTTTGTTACCTTTAGTCCTTGTTAATACTTTATTTGAAATAATGCAGATAGCCTTCAATACACATGCAGAGTGCTCAGTTCAAGTTCCTGATCTATAACTGTTCTAAGGAAGTTTTCACTAGTTGGGTTTAGAGAAAACAAAATCTTGACCTATTTACTCAAGAGGAAAATTAAAGTTCTGTTCTAAGAACCTGTTCACTGAAGCCACATCAATGGCAGGACTGAAGGGAGACTGAAATCCTTCTCTGGAAGTGATGCTCAGGTGTTCTCTGCTTGGATCAGGAGCTGCAGGGGTTCTGTGTTCTGCACACCAAGCTCTGCCCCAGGCCCTAGTGCCACGTTACAGGCAGGGCACGGAGCTCTCCTTGCTCCAGGACAAAGCTGGCAGCTCCCGAGGGTCCAGGCCCTGCCACAGAAGCAGCTGCAGCAAGGACAGCAAGCTGGCAGAGGAAACGTGCTGCTTTAAAGGCCTCAGGAGTGTTAGGGCTGCCCTTGGATCTCAGGATTTCAACAGAGAATCTTTTTGTTTCTCTTTAGAAACAAAACACTTGCCTGCAGCACTGGGAACCTTTGTGCTGAGAAGGGTGAAGACTGCAGTTCTTGTACCTGTAAGTTAAAACACCACGCGATTTGTCTTTTCCCTCCAGCAATGTGTCTGTTGTGCTGCTGTTACAGTCTGAGGCTGCTGGGATCAGTGTCTGCCCTCACCAATGCCTGGTTTGGTTGAAGGCAGCTCTCTGCCTGCCCTGGCAGTACCGGTCCCTTCCTCACCTGAGTTTTGGCAGCGCTTTTCTGCTCCTCTTAGGCCGGGAGTGCCAGCACTGTTTTACAGATAAGCGAGCTGCTCTGGTCCCTGCTTTGCCTGGGAGTGTTGATTCCCAGCCTGGCTCTGGGTGTGTGTTGGGTTTTACACTGAGCTGGGAAGTTTGGCTGTTTCCAGCCCCAGCTGCCGTGTGAGCACCCCTGAAGGGATGGGTCTGTGCTGGAGCTCCTGCTTCCCTCTGCCCCTGGCCAGGCTGGGCACACGGCTGGGGATCTGGAGGATGTGGATGTGCTGTCCTGGCCAGGAGCTCTTTCAGGTAATGGGCTGGAGGCTCCTGCTGATGAGCCCAAGCCAGAATTCTGTATTTGTCTGGTTATTGACACCCAAGGGTTGTTATTTACACCAAGGCTCCAGCACAGCCTAAACTTCCTGAGGTTACGTATTGGGGTGTACAGGGCAAATACTTTTAATTGTGTGGGTCATTATCCTCTAGTTCACCGAGTGAAGTTAGAGTTCAGTCAGTGAAAGACGTTTTCCCCAAACTGCGGTGTTCTGAAATGGGGCAGTGTTTGTATTAGGGCACTGGCTCAGTGCAGGAATAGGTTCCTTGATTTTTATTTTATTTTGGAGAGTAATAGTTGATGTCTGTCTTGCTGTGATCCTGAAAACAATCAGGTTCCCTTACTTGTTCTGCTTACGTGAGGGGAAAGAAGTTGAGACTATGAATGACAAGTTTCCCTAAAGAACACTAGAAACAAAATTTCATCTTTATATTAACATTACCAGAAGTTTTAGTGAATCAAACTTATCTCTAAACTCATGGTTTTAATATATTTAATGCAAGCTTCAAAACTGAATGCTATTAATATAGTTCAGGTTTCTAGGAGGCAACTGTGGCTTGCTCAGAGTTGCCTATTTCTGAATTGACTTTATTAGCAAGGACTGAAAACCAACTGTAAAACAGTCATAAACAGGAAGCTCCTCAAGGCTGTGGTGATCTGTAACATCTAAGAAGAAAACTTTACCCAGTGCCCCTCCTCCTGTGACTGATTTTACTCCGAGGCACCGGGACCTTTCGGGCTGCAGCCACTCAAGGCTCCGAACGAGGTGTTGAGCCAAAGGCAGCAACTCAGGTCAATAATAAAAGGTTCCTTGTGTTGATCTGTCTCCAGTGCAGAGCGCTCCAGTCTGATTCCCCAGCAGTGATAACTCCTATTGCTCCTGCTGTATAAACCTGCCACTGCACAAAACCAGAGGGAACCTGCTGCTGGCTTTAATCCATCCTGGTGCCCTTCAGAAACACAACTGGAGGGAAGCGCTGAGTGTTCTGGTTAGACTGAGAAGTCAAAGGTTCATTTTCACTTTTTCAATGGATTGCACAGATAAAATAAAAGGAAAGCTGGGTTTAGGAGTGGGTTCTCTGGGCAGGTTTTGGGGAAAGAACTCAAACCAGAGAGCTTCGTTGCATTTGTAAATTAAAAGATGGGTCATAATTAACAAGGAATCTGCAAATTCTGGCATTATTCATTGTGTTTTGATTCTGGATCTGGATGTTTTGTTTTATTCGAATACCTAAGCTGAGGTCTAGCTATAAAACCTATTTCAGACTGCAGCAAATGCGTAATTCTGCCAGGTTTGTGTGTGTGAGAACTGTCTGGGACACTTCACCTGCAGGCTTTGCCAGGCTTAACCCAGCTGCGAGCAGCTCCGAGCTCACCGAGGGAGCGGTTCCGATGGAGCTTTAAAACAGCTCGGTCCTGGACATCGGGGGGTTCGGCACAATTCTCCTTCCCTGATGCAGCAGGCGCGATCCTCGGAGCAAACGGGCGGTTCCGGGCTGAACCCGGGCTGAACCCGGGCTGGTTCCGGGCTGAACCCGGGTCGATCCCGGGCCGGTTCCGAGCCCGTTCCGGGCCGATCCCCGGCCGGTTCCGGGCCGGTTCCGAGCCCGTTCTGGGCCGCTTGGGGCCGATCCCCGCCCCTGGGCCGGACCCGCTGCAGTTCCCGGTTTGGCCACGCGGTGGCGGCCGCCGCCCGCCCAGCGCCTTCCGCTCCCGCTGGAAATTCGGATTTTAGGGAAATCCAGGAGTCCTTTCCCAGGAATCCCTTCCCAGGAATCCCTTCCCAGGAATCCCTTCCCAGGAATCCTTTCCCAGGAATCCCTTCCCAGGAATCCTTTCCCAGGAATCCTTTCCCAGGAATCCCTTCCCAGGAATCCTTTCCCAGGAATCCTTTCCCAGGAATCCTTTCCCAGGAATCCTTTCCCAGGAATCCTTTCCCAGGAATCCCTTCCCAGGAATCCTTTCCCAGGAATCCTTTCCCAGGAATCCCTTCCCAGGAATCCTTTCCCAGGAACGGGGAACGCGGCCGGGCCGAGCGCTGCAGGTGCGTCCTTCAGCCTGTGAGCACAGCAAAAAACAAACACCGGCAGCCTGCCCACAATTCACCACATTTATGTGGAAGAACTGTTAAAATCAGGGCTTATCAGAGAGCCAGCACATTGATAACTGACACTGAACTAAATACAGCTTCACCTGGGGAACAGAGACACCCAGCAAGTGCTGATCAGCCGATGTAACACGGCAGAAATGTGCTGAGGGACGTGCAGCAGTCACAGCTCGGTTCTGATGTCATTCATGGGCTGACCCTGAAGTTCTGTGTGTGCAGCAAAACGAACAGAAAGTGTGGAGGGTTGGTGTTCTGAGCATCTCAGCTCCTGTCCTGAGCATCTCAACTCCTGTCCTGAGCATCACAGCTCCTGTCCTGAGCATCACAGCTCCTGTCCTGAGCATCTCAGCTCCTGTCCTGAGCATTATCCTGTCCTGAGCATTATCCTGTCCTGAGCATCACAGCTCCTGTCCTGAGCATCTCAGCTCCTGTCCTGAGCATCTCAACTCCTGTCCTGAGCATCTCAGCTCCTGTCCTGAGCATCTCAACTCCTGTCCTGAGCATCTCAACTCCTGTCCTGAGCATCTCAGCTCCTGTCCTGAGCATCTCAGCTCCTGTCCTGAGCATCTCAGCTCCTGTCCTGAGCATCTCAGCTCCTGTCCTGAGCATCTCAGCTCCTGTCCTGAGCATCTCAGCTCCTGTCCTGAGCATCTCAGCTCCTGTCCTGAGCATCTCAGCTCCTGTCCTGAGCATCTCAGCTCCTGTTTTGCTATAAGGAGATGTAAGGAGGGGAGAAAGATGCTCCTCCTCATGGACCCTGAGCTCTGAAGCTGGGGTGGCTGGAAGAGCAGCTCTGGGATGGTTTTCTCCACTATCCTTAAAAACAGTGGGGCCCTTGAGCAGCAGGGGAGAGACAAATATAGTTTAGGCATGTAGGATATGCTGTGTTGCAGTTTGAAAGGCTTTCAGCCCCGGGGTAAGCATTTTCCTGGTGCCAGTTTGGGATCCTTTCAGCTGAGTTTTGCCCTTTGATGCAGCCCCTCCCATCATTGCTGACACCTGTGCTGGCCTGGCAGCTCCAACAAACACAGCAGATACTAATTATGGGGAAAACAACGCCATCTGCTTTAGTTAATCACGCTTTCCAGGCTTATTTGTGTTTTAATTGCCATCTATGGAGTGGACAGTGGCTCCTGGGGGTTCACTGCTAGCAGAGGATTAATGGTTTTATTCTCTCTGAGCAAAAAATCCTACTCCTAAATACATGGCATTTATTTATCCCTGGCTCCTGCAAATCTGCCATGGTGAGTTTTGTAATGCCATTTCCACAGGAGCTGGCCTGACTGCAGAACTGTCTCCTGTTTAACTCTACAGATTGATGTGCTG